TTTTAAGAATTCGATTTTTTATGCCAACATAAGGCTTTTAGACTTTATGTGCACATCAAATAAAACTCTTAAGTACTTTAGGGCCCACCAGCGTCCGAGTGGTAACGTCGCTAAACACTGGTAGTTCGGTCCGAGGTTCGAATCCCGCGAACGGGCTGGTTGCATGGGTGTTTTCGTGGTTTTCCTTATGTGTAACGTGTATACGAGCCAGTTTCCCTTAAAAAGTCCCTCCACGAAGGCATCTCTCCCTTAAGGCAGATAGCCCTCGAGTGCTTTGCTGTAATCTTATAAACCAAACAACTTAAGTACTTTAGCTCTCTTAGGTTTAAATAAATCATTTGCCCGAAAGGTCTAATTAGTTTTAAAAAAACTAAGTATTACAAAAGTAGGACTTCTTCGAAGCCTAAAAAATTGTGATAGCAGCATTTGAGCAAAAAAGCCACAAGAAAAACACCTGACATGCATAGGTTTGGACATAGGAAGGTTGTGACAAGTCTGGTTACCATGCACAAATTAAAAGTTCCACTTCGCCTGTCTATATATAAAAATGCCAAACCACAAATTCTTCCCAGTCGACGACGCCAATGTGGCACGCGTCTTTTTTTGGCACTGAAATAAAGATGATTTAGATAATTAATCAAGAAAAGAAGTCTCTTGATTGATTATCCAAGCCATCCGAAGGCTGAAAAGAAGCAGTACCTTACATTAAATAGCAAGTCTCCGAAGTACTAGATACCCAACTTTGCAAGCGAAACTGCCTGAACTAAAACAGTACTTAAGAGAAAAAGCGCATAAAATAAAAAGCACATAAAAAAGCGCATAGAAAAAGCGCATTCGAGCGCATTAAAATTTTTTAATGAATTTCGTATTTGTCTTCTAGGTGTTCCCGATGACTATCATTTGCCCTAAAATTAACGTAGCCGTTATAGTAGTTCTCAGAAACGGAATAATCTGGAATTGTTTTGTTACTCTGATGATTAACGTACAAAGGATAGCTTGAAATCTATGGAATTACAATAAAACCTCGGTCCAGGAATTTAATTCATCCCTGAAGCCATACAGAACCGAAATGTTCGAAAAACTAAGCAATTTTACATGTAAGAACTAATGTAAAATGGATTAATTTGTTACAAGGCTACAGATGATTGCATATGTAAACTTTTCAGCAATACGTTGTACATAAAATGCACATCTTCATAACACGAAAACAATAGGTAAAACAAAATTCAGTAAATATTAAACAAAAGGATAAATTTACTATTAAAGTAAGTGTAATTTTACTGTACTTCCATAAAAGAAAGTGAATGTCTTAAGTGGAAAATTATGATAAAGGTGGTATTGTTTGGAGGCGAAGTTGCTCACTTTGCCTCCCTTTCACTCAAAATTTGTCCAGTATGACTTATCGTTACTTTACGTTTCAGCATGATTCTGAAGCGACATGGTATTTTCACTGAAAATGCTTATCTTCAGAAGCTGAACTAGATCTCCATGCTCATTCCTAAATTTAATAACCGGAAACTTTCATTATTTTACAGGTGAATGATATTATTGTGAAATATAATTATATCCCCCTGGAATATATAGTCTTGGTAAATTCTTTACAAAATAATAAGCCCACGGAATTCATCTTGGCAAAGAGTACAAAGCCACGCCTGTTGTTAGCAACAACCTTAAACACCATACAGGTGACGGTACGACTTTGCTCAGTTCCGCCTCTAATTTTGATGGAGAGCACACCGGGGGACGGGTCCGAGGGTTTCCACCACCTTTTTCCCCTTCCACAATTTTCGGCTGGGCGCATATTTAGATTGTTGCCATGCTGCAGAGACACTATATATTTACAAACATCCATGTCTTCTCCGGGATTCGGACCTGAGCCATTCGGGACGGCAGTCAAAGTCACTAACCACTATTCCGGTTGGGCGACCGTTTGATATATTCTTCATGAAAATGAGTAGCCCAAAGGAAGGCTACTAAGACCTGGCTATGGCTGTATTACGATCCAAATATCAGCTTGATTACATTCAACAAATATAAAAAAATATTTATAATTAGTAAAAGTTTGATAGCAGTCTGATGTGTGTTTTCTATAAAACGTTTTGGCAGGAATATTAATGTGAATCTTCCATTGCATGCCTTCTTTTCTGAAATTCATTTACATTTAGCTCTAAAAAGAAATCTAGTTGCGGCTCTGGAAATTTCCAGAATTCTAACATGCGACTCCTGTTGTCATGAAGTTTGGCCATCCCTTGTATATAATTATTATTATAAGCAAAATATGATAAAAATTTGGCTATGATATTAAAGATGATATTAGCGAAGATTCAGTCATTTGCGGAAACAGGTCTTTATTTTACCGTCACAGCTTAAGTTATCAGGAGCCTGTCTGCAGTGCTTCTCAGTTTTTGAGATAAATCTCAATCGCATCAGAGCCCTAAATAAGACGGCCCCAACAATATTTTTAGGTGACTGAAACACAATTTAACAGAAAATTTTGTTGATCTCCAAAATTTTATTTCAATAACAAGCGTCGATTCTAACTTCTGAAAATATGTCTATCTTTTTTACTGAGAAATTAACTATTGATGGAGGTCGAGATTTTTAAGGTAAGGAAATCCCCCACTCTCATACCAAACGTTATGCTTTTGAAGTGTAAGGAATTTATGATAGCGGGTAATAATAATATAGTATATTACAACCTACTTCACCTCTCATTGGGCACTACAGGTCGGTCCATATCACTCCGGCCATTGCGCCAGCAACCCTAAATTGAACAACCACCTTATCTTTATTCATTTAAGAATATTACATTAGAAGTTTCCTATGTTGGGGGTGCCAACTTACAATGTTTTATGAGGTTTATAAAGATCAAACAGGTTTGTAAAATTTGAAGGGATTATTATTAAAATTTGAAGGAACTATTTATAAGGGAGGCTTGCTGCCTTTAAAATCTTCGAGGTTGGTATTGTAACTCGGTTAGTTTGATATGAAGTTGTTTTTGAGTTGACATAGATCATAAGGTTTCGGGGAACGTTTTGCCTATAGTGGTCCGTTATTAATTCCCTATATCCTTTATTGATGAGTGGTAGATTGTGGGGTGTCCGTAATGAGTGTATCCTCCTACAATCCATGACGTAATGGATGTGTGACTTTGGGAAAAAGGATGGTAAATAATGGTTTTTCCTTTCTGAAGTTTTTTAAAAAGTGATTACCCGTGGTCGTGCACGTCCAACATTAGTGTTTTCCCAAGGCTAGTGTTCTTTGCTCCAGCTGCTGTTATATAGACAAAAGATGATTTAAATCTAAAATAAACATTTGCAGATCTTTAAAGGTCTTCACTAACAAAACTCTTTTTACAACCAGCAACATTTACAGTATTTTTGAGGAAGGTTTGCAGCATTATTACGATATTTTGTAAAAGAACCGCATTTCCATCTTCCTGTTTGGTTTTCCCTCGCAGTAAAGGGAATAAAACTCTGAAATACTTTCTTAGCTAGAAATTCTTCCGTATTAATGTCACCGTGATCATAATGTACTGTATGTTCGTAATGTTTGCTCAAACGTTACGAGGAATAAAAAAGGTATGATAAAAATATGTATCTTCAAAACCTCGCGGTGATTTCTTTGAATACTTTTTCTAGAGAAAAAGTATTTTTCTAGACATTTCTTTGAATACTTTGTCTACAGAAAAAGTAAATTTTCATCTCAGTTTAATTCCCTGTAGTAAATAAAAATCTCTATATTCTTCATCTACCTCAGCGATCCATCCGTATAAAATAATATCTCACGTGAAAAATGCCGTTCCCAAAATGTGGTACTGAAAAAGACCGCATTCTCCATTTTATATGCCACCGTTTCAGTTTCTGTAAATATTTAGTTTAAAACAGATAGCTTAATATACGATTTTATATGAATCTATTTTTGGAAATTAAAGTTACTGAAATTATTAAATTTTAAGGCGCTAAAAAATCTGAAATCTTTCAAATTTTATATTACGGAATATATTTAAAAACAGTATTCATTTAGAATTTCATATAGACGGTCTCTTCCGCTGGATATAAAAATGTTTTATTCCCTACAGTGCTGCCACTGCTCGCTTTGAAATGAATTTTTTAATAGAAAATCGTTAAATATTTACAAAATATGAAATAGACAATAAAAGAAATTCCAAATTCAGGCTTCCAAACACCCATGTTCGGGTGGAGGACTATGCTATTCAAAATTTGGTGACTCAAGGTACCGTTGTTTTTTCACAATGCGAAAAACACATTCAATCATCTAGATTCTTTATTATTTAATTTCTTTAAATATAATACAGGAATCTAATATTTGGTGGCAACAATTTGAAGTGATTCGGATATTTAAAGTGATTCGACGTAAAGTGCATTTTCAAAACTCATAGCCCCTCTGGTTAACGTACGTTTGGGCTAAAAGAAAGGAGAGTTTTTAAAACGACGTGTTGAAAGAGAAGATTTGGGATATGAATACATTCGGGATTCGCAATTGATAAATTTCTTACTTGTAAATTTGTAATAAAAGTCAGAAATCATTTAATATTTATTACAAATATAAAGTTTTTTATGTCTTACACGCATTTTCTTTAAGAATTTAATTGACATATTGAAATGTGATATTAAGGTTCACAAAATCCTTTGTTTTTATAATATCCTTTTATATAATTATTTAAATAATACAAATTTATCGAATAGATTTATTTGAAGTTAAAAATTCAGTGAAAAATATTACCCAATAGAGTTAAAAATAATAACTGACTCAATGTTATTGTTTTCTTTAAATAATGAAGATAATCAATATTTTCTAATTTGACTTTAATATCCTTAAAAACTGCAACTAATTTGTGAAGCAATAATAAACATCTGCCTACCTAAATCCCCCAGAAAATAGTATACAGCAACTTATAGTTTGTTATCAGCGCACTCATCACGCACCAGCTAGAGTATAAAATGCACGTTAATAGCATTTTAAAGTAGTGTCTCATTCCGCAGCCTGTGGGCTTTTGAATGAAGGTGTTAAGGTTTTCCACAATGAAAGTGATCGAGTTTGCAGTTTTGGCAGCAGTTTTGTGCAGTCCCATTCACGGTGATACTTCCAGTCTTGAGGACGTTTCTGATTTTGAAGACAACTTACTTTTGATTTATAGGCCCGAAATTCCTACAGCTGATCCACATTTGTCAGCTGAAGTCGACAAAGTATTCAGCCATAGTCATTTTACGGTTAGTATACCATTTTAACATATATGGATAATTATCTCATGTAAGTTATTTATGTTACAACTGTTTCCAGATATTACCTTGCCTACTGTGTTGATAACGTCCACGTTATGAGCAAAAGACTCTAAAAATTCTGTGTTACAATGTGTTTCTTTTCGCATATTTTATTATTAATATTTATAAAGTTGATGAGTCGTGAAGTTGTAGTAGAGTATTATCCTAAAAGAAAGCTTCCGGTTAGATCTTTTTTGGATTAAAGCATTCTAAAACTTACCTGCTAAATTTTGAACAAAAAGACGTTTCAGCTTAAAGGGATTTAGGCCATTGAATGAATTTTGTATCTTTTAATTTCCTCTTTTACTGCAATTTTTAAATTTCAATTTATCTCTTAAATAGTGAAATAATAGACCTTTTAAATTGTATTAAATTTAAAGTAATCTAAAGTAGCAATTTAAAAAACGTGATAAATGAAGTTTTTACAAAGGCTGAAATGTTATCAAGAAATTCTATAACTAATTCATTTCTTTTAAAAATTTATTTTAAGTTAGACATATTATACGTACATATGCAATTATCTTTGGTAGTTAAATTATTCTTATGAAATAATTTGCTTAAATTCTCATTTAGTTAAATTTCTCTTTATACGTGTAATATTAATTGATCTTGTAGAATGTTATTTTTTCATGAGTGACTTTATAATGAACATTGGGTGTTAATTAAAAAGATAATGGAATCAATAATGGGTATTGATTATCTATAAATCTTCCGCATAGTTACAGTAAAATTAAAGGATTTCAAAAAAACCCACATTCGTTTCAAGCCAACTCATAAGGCAAGAGATTCAGTATTAGAAATCTAGGATTCGCTTCCTTTCGCCAATCGTATATCTTTGTAGGCTTATTTCAGGAGTCCATGAAAGTTTTCGTCCTCTTGAGCAGATAATTCTCGTGGCTTTGTCGTACTCAGATAACCTAATCCTCGTAAGTTCATATTTTCTAAAATCTTTCGAACTTTTAATGCGAAAAGGAGGCTTTCTTTCTGTGTAAAGATACAACCAATACATTTAACCAGAGCCTACCAATAAGTTGGAACATTCAAGCATGGTATCAGCTAAAGCTCTTCTAAATATGAGAACAAAAATAATTTGTTAATACTCCTTAACACTTCAACTTGTACATAACGTTTCAGAAATGTGAATTTTAATGTACTGTTAGTCTATTAAAAATCCGAAATATAATTACAGTTCGAATCATCTAGTAAAACACATGATAATACTATCCTTGACGATTTCATTTGTTTCTGGAATTTTATTAGTTAAAATTATTTACCTAGTTTATTAATAGCTTCTAGTTAATATAAAAGAACTCCGTAAACAAGGAATCTAAATATGCCTTATGGTAATCGGCTTCTGAAACAATTTCATAAATAACATAATTAAGTACTGGCTTTATTGTTTAGGCATGTAGTAAATACTTGTCAAATCATATTGAAATCTCGTAAATATTTGATCCCAGCAAAGAGACTGGATGCCTACGTGTACACGCCATGATTACTATACTATAAATACATGCCAGTTACCTTTAGAAAACTTAAGGCATTTTACGCCTTAAGAAGAGAGCTTTTGTGTGTTTTACCATGTTCGAATTTTTTACCAGAATCGAAACCCCAGTAATATAATCAAAGCGCAATTGTGTCGCATAATTGAAATTCAAAATGTTTATTCAAATTGAGTTTCTGTTTTACCTATTACATACATAAGCACTCAAGGTTACGAAGTATTACACTTATAATCGGTAAAATATCATCTACCAGGACATTTCGTGAAGAAGGCTAGAAATTATTTCTGTTGATATTTCGAGGCTCTAGCAATTTATTCTATTCAAAAAATAATATTTAAAATTTTGGAACAAACCACCTGAAATTTGTGCATTTAAATAAAGCCAGTGTTTTACATTGGGTAAAGAGAAAACCTACGATTAATTTAAAGTGCTATGACGATAAACATCCGTAAATAACAAATGTGAAATATTCAATTTTCTTTAGCACAAAAGTGAGAAAGTACGGAATTAATCATGTCTGCTTCACCATAGTCGGTAGGAAAATTTAACTTCCCTTTGCGACTGAGGACAATCAGTGTTCCTGATACGATGTTGTTCTTGTGCATGTCATTATTCTTAAATATTTTCTAAATGGTTACGAGGAATATTGTTACCGTGTTCTTCGGGTGGGAAAACAGGTCTTAATGAAGTCTTTCCCAGCGAGATTTTGAAATAGCTTAGCGAGATAAATATAGACTGAATTTGAATGGCGGAAATGGTTATATCTGGTTAGTAATAGGTGAGTTCTAATTCAGTATCAACTACTGTGATCATATTTAAGTTAATCCTTCAAATGTCACTCGTATTCTATCATTTTTAGATTACGGAAAATGGTACCTGTAATGAAAACATCCCTTGTGGTTATGCAACTTTCGCAACTGCAGCAACATTTCAACAAATCTTTCTCAAGAGCAAGTATGTGTTTTATAGTTAATAATTCCTCTTTCATAAAACAGTAAACAATATTTAAAACAAATTGATATTACATGGAATAATATAATTTGTGATGCCACATCGGTTAATCTTTGGATTATGGTAACTGGGCGATTTTTGGGCGAAAATTTGGCGACCAACCCTGCTACAGCAACCTGCTAGCTTTTGTTTTGGACGCCATTTTGTTTTCACGAAGTCAAGGCGTTTTTTTTTTTTTTTTAACATTTTTTCTAACAATCTGCTAGCCGAATTACGCTTATGCTAGAACTTTTATGGAAGAAAAGTGCTTAATCATGACGATTAGGTGCGAAATTGGGAGAAAGTGCAGAATCGCCCACTGCTTGCCGCTTTTTTAAGAATTGCACATACACGGTATCATCCATGTACACGTCGACCTATTTTCACTTAAAAAAAACATCTCAGAATTGCACAAAAATGGCATTGCGCACACTCTTGACTTTATCCATGTACACTGCTAAAGTCCTAGCGAGTAACCTTTATCGCCTTACCAAAATGTCGTCAAACTACCTGTTAGCATATTCCAAAGATTAGCCTTAACGTCTTTTTTTTAACGCACTTCATAAGACACTTAATTGGAAAATCACTTGTATAGTGGGAAGACGTAAAGTATATGCTATGCTCGTAATGTCTTAGTTAGCGCTATAATATTGGCGCAAATTGGTGATTTTTTACAGAAAAAAGAATGATGACTTAAAATTGAAAAAAAAATTATCCATTATATGCGTACGTATTTTACATTTTAAGAAGGTATTTAATCCAAAAATCAGTCGAAAAACTTACAAGCGAGTTTTTGTTTATTCTGTTCTGCTGAAAAATTCATGACTATCGCTTTAAGAATGGGCTTAAAGTAATTGTTCCGTTTAAGAGATTTTTTGGCAAAATATATAATTTCAGAAATTTTACAGCAATTTTCTTCCACTGTAGTTGCTAAATTTCACAAGCACATACATAAAACATCATAATTTTAGATAAAAAAATTTTAGGATTTTTTTTCTATAAAAACAATTCGAATGCAACAAAAAGAATGCAGACAAAAATGCCGACGTTGTAACACTGAAATATTGTAACGCGTATGGTTGCCAATATGGCGCATTTTGAAAATTTGGCTACTTTTTAGAATAATATGTTTGCTTTAATGCGTAAGTACCCTTCTTATGCAAAATGGCCAGTTAACTTCAGATAATTTATATTTTCCCACAGAAAATTAGCGAATAATGTTCTAATATTTGTCAGTCATAAAAATAAGGTTCTGTAGAAGATTTGTTAAATTAAAGAATTGTCCAGTTCATTATCTGAAATGAACAGTAAAGACGAATATTTAGCATTGGTTATTTACTTACTGTTGTTTCTTGAAATATTTTATTTACGAAAGAAATTACGAGCCATATGGCATTTTTCAGTTTTGTCTTATCACTTTTTATATATTTTGAAAATTTTCTAAAGCCTTATGAAAAATTGCTACTTCTAAACAGTATGCATTTAATACCCAAATAATTATATTAAATATTATAATTAAAATATTTCATGAACTAAGATTTTGGGAAAAAATTATAACTCATGAAAAAAGACATATCAGTTAAAATATTTCAATGAAACCAACTTTATTAACCAAAGTCTGATCATATTCTTCATATTTTCGGTTGGTTCGGAAACAACGTTTTCAGTTACCAGTATTTTACGAAAACTTGCTTTAGTCCTAGAAGACTGAACTAGAAATTGAACAGTATGTATTATTTGGTGAAGGAAGCAACAGTCAGTGGCAAAAAAAGTTGAAAGCTAAACAAACTTTGCCATTTTGAAAGATTTTAATATGCATGGTCTTTAACGCTTTATTGCTTTTAATGTATATTATTTTTTCTTTGCAGCTGTGATTGCCCAGAAGGAATGAAGTGTTTCGTAAATGCTCGTCAAACTACGGCATACGTATACCGTTGCTCTCAGTTTCGAAATGAAACGGATCCTATCCTCAACCAGGTTGAGGTGCCTCTTGAGTTTCCTGTGGAGAATAGCACCCGAATTCTTCGGAGCGCTTCAATGTTCGAGAACAAGGGATGAGGATTAATGCTGACTGCTGAAAAACCTCTACTCTAGTACTGATTTACAATTTCATTTGAGCATTTCAAGTCGGTTTTAAGGGCAACTTAAAATATAACATTTTACTTTGAATAAACAACTTAATTGGTATAGTTTGTCAAATTATTATAGTACTTTTTAAAGCTGATTATGATCGTCGGAAATGAGGCTTATCAAGAAGGAAATTAATTTACTCCACAAAACTTGGATAGCTGCAAGGAAATCGAGATGCAGGGTTTGATCTTCTTGATGGATTCGCCCATCTTCAAAATCCGAAGTGAAAGATGCATCTTACAAGTTAAAGATGAATCAATAAAAGTTTCGGCAGATAACCATTGTGTGCTATGCCATATTCAAATATTTAGGTAGGATTTCTTCGTGAAGGACTTTCTAAGGAAACCCGGCTCGTATACATGTTATATAAAAATCTGTAGTGAAAGGGATAGGCTTGAAGAGAAACTTTGCAAGCAGCAACTGAAAAGAAAATTGTATTCTTTGGTGTTTTCCAGAGTGATTCTGTAAATAAGGGCCTAATAGCTGTAAAGTTCTGAACCGTGGTAGTTTGACCTGCGCAAACCATTCCAGGCAAACGGTCTGGCTGCATCGGCCTTTTAGTAGCTTTTCCCATGCTTAATATGAATATGAGCCGGTTTTTCTTAAGCAGATAGCCATCGTATGCTTTGCAATAGCTAAGCAAATCCAGTCAGATCTGTAAATAAGTTCCTAGCATATGAAGATGATTATAAACTTAAATCTGAGCTAGCGTAATACTAAATTGATTTTACATTTGTTTTACCTTCAACAAGCTTTATTTTTGAAAAATTAAGAAATTAACCCTTGAGGTATTTTGTTGTTTAGGGATATTTTCAGGTTCAATAACCTTAACAAAAATATGAATTTCTATTTTTATGGCAACAGCTAGCCAATACATTGCTTGTGACAAATTAAAGCGTATTAAAAGCACAAAAGTGTGCACATGATATTCAGGGTGGATAATTTAATTAGACATAATTTAAGTAAATATTTCATTTAATGGTATTTTCAGACTTGGAGCTTGTGAATTTAATACGAACCACATGGAAGTACATACATCTGTAAATGTATTTCCATATTTTAATAGAATAGTGCACGCTTCATAAACTAATTTAAAATCGAGTCTTGATTTCCAAGCACGTTAAAAAATTACCCTTAATAATTAAAAATATTTTCATGTCAGGATACGCTATTTCATTTACATCCAGATCGGAAGAAGGCTGATTCTTATGTACCCTGATTTCACTCTCAGCACATCTAATACACATTACAATTTTTACAGCTATAGTTTGAATCATTGTGAAAAGACTAATCATTTTCAGTACTGTATTTTCGGAAGTTTGGGCCCACCAAGGGAGGAGCTGTAAAGTGAACATTAGTACTTCGGTCAGAGGTTCGAATCCCGCGAACGGGATGGCTGCATGGTCATTTTCGTGGTTTTCCCTATGTGTAACGTGTATACGAGCTAGTTTTCCTTAGAAAGTTCTGCCCGGAGGCATTCCTCCCTTTAGGCAGATGGCCCTCTAGTGCTTTGTTATAATATATTTGTTTGTTGCTGCTACGAAACATTCTTGTAAAGGCTGGTTGGAATTCCAGTGCCTTAGAGTTCTTAGTAGCCTGAAGGATAGTTAGAAGCGCAGAACATTTCTCTGAAACTAGTTTTAATATCTTCATAAAAACCAACATTGTTACGTACACTGCGAAAACAAAATTTTAAATTGATCATATCTTTAGAATTTCCGATACAGTCTCACGCGCTGGAGATAAAATTGTTCTTTCTGTACAGCGTTGCCATTGCTTGCTTCGAAATCCTTGAGTTTGTTAATCAAAAGTTCTTTGCCCACCAGCGGCGAGCGGTAAAGTCGCTGAACACTGGTAGTTCGGTCCGAGGTTCGAATCCCGCGAACGGGCTGGCTGCATGGGTGTTTTCGTGGTTTTCCCCATGTGTAACGCGTATACGAGCCAGTTTCCCTTAGAAAGTCCTCCACGAAAGGCATCCCTCCTCTTAGGCAGATAGCCCTAGTGTGCTTTGCCATAATTAAATACACCACCACTACACCACCAAAAATTCTTTAAAGTTTTACAAAATATGAAATCGACAATAAAACAAATTCCAAATGCCCATATTCGGGTGGAAACGTACGTTATTCAGAATCGGAGGGCTCTATGTACCGTTGTTTTATCATAATGCGAGAAACATATATATATTTATGCAGATTCTTCATTATTTAATTTCTTCAAATACAATACAGGGCGATAACATTTAGTGGCAACAGTTTGCAAAGTGAAACGGACATTCTGAGTGATTCGACGCAAAATCGCAAAACGAAAACAATAGTCGCTAAGGGACAAAGTCCCCTTTTTTTAATTGAAAATTGTTTATTCCTTGTGCACCACATAGTATACCACAAGGCTTACAGAGGTAAGTAAAAAAAAGGAAATGTAATATTTACAGAGTTTAACCTAGAAATGAGTTCTTTTTGTCCTTCCGTGAGCTTTGAACGATAGAACAACTAATGTTCGACATTTTGCACTCCCCCGAAACTGCATGAACTCAAGTCTGTACTAGATAATCTAATCTCTTCAGATACTACTTGAAATTACCATGTCTAGTTAGAAATTTTGTAATTTTAAAAGTGCAGAGAAAGTTTTTATTATACAGTCTGTCAGGAATGGAAGGAAAATATAATTTGGTCGAGGAGGCAGTAGTAGAGTTCCTGTATAACTCATTCCACTTGAGTACTGCATCATCCCTATTTTTTTCCCTTGAAAAATGACTTAGGCAGTATCACTAGAGTATTTTACTTGAAGATTTGTAACTTATTCTGCCAATGAATCAACCCTTTCATTTTCTAGATTTCTAGATTGCCAGTGTGGCCACGTACATGAGAAAAGATAACATCGACACCTTTATTATTAAGGTCTTTAAGAAGGGCATTAAAGTAACAATTAATTTATTACATGAGAAGATATTCCTAAGAGAATACAAGGATGAAAGAGAATCAGTGCGAATAAAGAAATTTAGTACTTAACGAACAGTTGTTAGATATCCACTTAGTTGGCTCACTAATACACAGTAATTCGGCTTGGAAAACACTACATTCATTGGGAATTCTAAAGAGTTTGTATTCCAGTTCAGAACCATGATCGAAAACGACATAAGCTAATCCAACTCGATTATTAATTTTACTGCCATCTGTATAACACCCAACAGGAAAATTATCAACGGAATTGTCATAAATGATTGCTTGAATTGGCAAGCGATTGGCAGGATGAGAAAGATCTTCAAACAACACCTTGGTATCGAACATAAATTTGCTGATTGTATCTTTAAACTTTTTGTCATTTAAAACATTAAGGTCAATCGAAGGAAACCCCGAAATTGCGAAACAGGCTTCATAGCTAATTGTTCTGTAGCCACGGACAATTCTTGGTAAAATTCTTTTTTGAATTCTGCGAAGTATACGGGAATTAATCTTCTTTTCTAAAGTTGTTCCTCACCCCCTAGAAGCATAGCAAATAAAGGGGACAATACCCTGCTTACAAATCATATCGATAACATTAGATTTTAAACCAAAAGGATTGCAAGAGACACGATTAAGTCCTCGAAGTATATTTTCACACTTATTGGATAAATGCATAATATGTTTTTACAACAAAACTTATGATCAAGGTAATGCCTAGATATTTAATTTCATTCACCGTTTCGAGTACGGTATTATCCAAGTACAATTGGTGGTTTGTATGGCTCACATGCTTTCTTTTAATTATCATAATATAAATAACACAATTTTAATTATCCTAATTAAAAGAAAGCCCCCTTGAACCCCCTTTCGACCCTAAAAAACTCCCGTTCTACTGGGTCGATTGATGAAATTCAAATTACGTTTTTCATGTCTCGAAAATGCGATTTAGGATATACATTAGATTTACATATAGCATTGTTCTGTAATAGGTATTTTGATACAAAATTGTACTTTTTCTGAAGTGACATTGTTTTTTTATATCTCGATTCTACAACTCAAATTATGCCTAAACGTTAAATTTTGTAAAATTTGGTGCGAAATTTACGTAGAAATTCAAAAATTTACTTGGCGCATTTTTCTCAGTTTGAGTTAGGAATGATTCACTTGGCGAAGTTCTTAATTTATAGCAACCTATTTTCCTTGTCCGCGAGCGGAAAAAAGTCATCGTTCATACACTCAAATAATTTTAACAAAAGTGCGTAAACCACATTTTCGTTATTATCGCTTATAAAATACACCAAATATCAAAACGCGTCAAAATCTAAATTCACGTATGTAAAAAAAAAAAAAAAAAATACGTATATCAAAACCACGTTGAATAACAAACCCTAATTTTTTTCAGGTGTGCTTAGAAATACATCTACTTTAAGATGATGACAAAAATTTTATAGGTTAAAAATTCAAAATTTTTTTCGAAAAATTCGAACTCATGGTCTCACTTGCGCAACTGCTACAATAATAAAGAAATAATAATAAAGTAATAATAATTAAAAAAAAAAACTCCCGGTGTGTTTGAACATGTCCGGCAATCGATGGTCCGTCGGTGTCAGGAATATTTGGCGTCTGAGGGTGCCAACTTCCAGCATCTGTTGTAATATTCAAGCTGTCGTACACCATTTGTATTCATGTCCAATAAATGTTTCAAATTAATCAATCTCTGGTTTTCCTTTTTCGTCTTCTACCTCTGCTACCGCTTGCCCCTGACACTTCCGGGCATGGGTTACTGTGCAAATCTTAATCTTTATGACTTGTCTTACCTCTCCCAGAAGTTTGTAGCAAAACTAAGAGACTTTGCTCATCAAACTTCAATAAATCATTTCTGGAAACTTCCAGAATGCCATTATCTTGGAAAAACGTGATCCACACATGGTCGGTTATGGGTTTCTTTCTGTCTGTAACACTTTTGTATCAGAATCACTTTCAGATTGTTGCCACCAAATGTTATCGTGATGCATTGTTAAAAAAATAAATAACGAAGAATCCTTATGTGTGTATGTACACTGCCAAAAAAAAAAAAAAAAAAAAAAAAAAAAAAAAAAAGGAGGGGACAGT